TAACCTGGTGCAAACATATGGAAGGAGTCTGTTCCAGACTCCATCTGTCTTTTGCCGAAGCTCAGACTCTAGCACAGGATCGGGAACGTTGGAAGCTTTGTCTGACGTGTCTGCCTACGCGACCCGAAAGGCGAAGCGGAGATTGAAGATGAAGAAGTTATAAAACGTCAGTAGATTTTGTGGAAAATTTTGTATGGGCGGAGAATTTCGCCCAATGAAATTTAACAAAATAAAACATACTGGACAAAACGATGAAAAAATGGTAAACACTATGGATAATTAATTTAATCACATACCAAGTAAGTCAAGGAGGGAGGCAATCTTTGCAACATGATAAGAATTAAAAATATACAGAGAAAAAAGAAGGCACAAAAGCACGGTTTCACAAACCTGGAACAGGCTAATGATAAAAAATAAAGATTAGTCTTACACTTATATGAGATGAGGTTTATTCTAGCAGCCTTGTTTTCGCTAAGTTAATGGTGGAGGCACTGATTTCCATTTCTATGTCATCAGCCAGGAATGTCTTACTTTTCAAGGCAGAATAGACAGCAGCGATGTGACAAGCATAGCCTGTGTTTCTCCATTTTTTCCCACTCATTAATCAACCTCGAAAAGAAGAAAAGAGAGAAACCGACCGGAACTCGAACGCAGGACCCTTAGGTTCCTAGTCCGACGCTTACTGAACGAATAACCCCGGCCTGAAGCGATGCGTGGTAAATTCGTTGCTCAAAGGTGTTCACGGTAAAGACAAAGATAGCCGCCGCGGGAATCGAAAACGGCATCCCCGGAGTTCGAGTTCGAAGTCGACCTTTTGCGTATTACGCCAACTTACCACACTGTGCCTCTGGCATTTTATAAGCTACCGAGGTTTCGCAGTACAGAAAAGTGTTTCCAAAACAAATGTTAGGCTTACTCATGACATGAAAAATAAGATTATAGCGACAGATGAATGTGCAGTGAGAGTACATTCTCTTCGGTATGGATTCATCAAAAGTACTAGAAGTATTAAGTTCAGGCTGATTGGATAGAGACAGACACGCAGAAAAGGCGAGAAAAAAGTGGAAGTGTGAAGGGCAGCAGTTCCATAAAGAATACCTCGCTTAAGTAAAGGACAAAATGTAATTAATGGCAGACTGCTTCAGTACAGAAAAAACTAGCTGAATGTGGAGAGCCAGAAAATAATATCCAAAAATTTCAGTATCTTGGATACATCACGCAAGATAACGGGAATCTAGTAGAACAATGTTTGATATGCTAGATGGGAGACGAATGACACTGCGGCAAGAAAATGCTTACAAACGTACCCTGTAAAAACAAAAATGCTCAGATGAATATAGAGTGCCAAAGAAAGATGTGATGATACTGCGCAGCGCAAAAGAAGCTGCGCGAACTGCTGAATACTTGACCAAGAATCAAAAAATGCAGAGGAAGAAAGATTCAGACAGCAAATCCTTGCTATCCAGTTGAAGGAATATTCCAGGAAGGAGAGCGAGAAGAAGAACAAAGAAAGATTTTATAATGCTTTCTTCAACTGGATGGACGGTGCCTCTGAATATTTCTGCCGGAGCAGTAAAACCCAGTCGCAGTCACCAACTCACTGCCTTACTAGAAGCGACTGCAGATTCTTTAGGGTCCTTCGTGATGTTTCATTCTCAAAGGCAACTGCGCTGTACAGCTGAATGTAATGCAGAGGATGCTATAAACAGTTGCTGGGCATTCGCCCACAGAATAACCGTAAAGGAATGAATCACATCAGTAATGACTGTTCTTGGTTAGCCAGAATCTGAGTCCATTAATGTACGAAAAGAACAGTAAACCATGGTTCAATGAAGAACATCAAGAAGGCTGATAGAATTTCTTCATGAAAGCAAAAAAAAGAGTCAGCGAGTTAACTCCTTTTAGAAATAACTAAACCGTAACTGGAAAAGAACCACATGATCCAACGTAAATGAGAAACCTACCCATAAGTCCTTAAGAAAAACAAAATACTCCAACGTAATGATCTGAACAAAACAAAGCATACTTACTTTCGGGCAACGGTATGTAAATACGCTTTTCCAAGCGTCGTCTCAATGCTTCATCTAAGTCCCACGGAAAGTTAGTCGCGGCTAATACCATAATGGATCTGCTAATATCTTCGTTTGAACTTGAGACGCCTGAAATTGGTTTTAAAAAAAACGTTGAAATGTATTAAAAATACAAGTTCACACAGCAAGCAGTACGTATTGAGCACCAAACTTTCCTAAAATCACCTTCACGCAAACTCTGAAGTTTACACCAACATTCAAACATTCTAAGGCGTCAATACAAGAGCAAGAAAATGCCGAACGCTTGGTGCAGGTAGAAATAAGTTCCGGGACATTTGAAAACATAACAACTACACGTGCCTTCCAGTTGAAACGGGCAAACGGCATCTCTGTCGGCTCGGTAGGGTGCTGGGAATGCAGATGAAAAATCCCGGAATCTAATCCTGACAGGTCAGTACCCTTTCATTCTTTCGAAACGAATCCAACCTCATCCTGGCGTAGAAGACTAAACATTATGCTATCCAGTGACTGCAGGCGTTACCCAGCATAAATAAAGCTCTCCTGACTGACGGCATCCAAAGAATGATCATAGTTGTACCACAAAAAACGATGCCTAAAATGCTGTCTATAATAAACGTCAAGGGATTTTCAATACACAACGATTACAAGGCTGTCTTCTTTCGTGATATTTAATAATTAGTATCGGAAGCGCGGAACCAGTGCTAAATTTTAAATAAGATTTAAAGAAATTTCGTACTTCATGGTGATTAGTCACATATGAAGTTGATCTGTATTGGGTCAGCTGGCCCATGTTAAAAGGATAAATGACCGAATTCATCGACTAGCTGTTGCTGCTTTCCTAATTATAATGTAAATTTAACCAAACCTGAATAGCCGTGCACCTCAAATGTGATGTCTCTCAACATCAGACACCGTTTTGTTAACTGACACTAGTAAAATTCACCATTATGGTAAATGCTCTTTGTCAAAGAGACACTTGCTCATTGAAGCGTTTCCATGGCCTTTACCGTCTCTCAATGTGTCTGCAGCCCGTAGACGAATTCCATGAAAGAGAAGCTTTCAACAAATGTCCGTTTTCTTTTGGGATCGTTTTAGCAAATCATATAAGGCACTTGTCTATAAGTTTTGGTAAAAGTTGTCTGATTTATCATCGTACTGTTCTGAGGATGATTCGCAGACGGCATTTTTGAAAGCCATTGACACAAGCTTCACGATATTTCACGACAGCAGCCGTTTTCCATCTGTTACCGGGTACTGTGAATTTGGCTGCTCTAAAGATCACTATCTTCATTGCTGCATTTAGCTTCATTTGCATTGTTCGGCCTTTACACATTTCACATTTCCAAAAATCGCCGAATGCGAGAATGTATAGGGTAAACCGTAGTGAAGTGTAATCCTTTTAGGCGTGTAAGATCCGCCTTTCATGCATTTCAAACGGTCGACAAGACAAAGATAATCAAGACTTGATGGTCCTCTTTACATCTTTAAAACAGTTCTCATTTTAACTACAAATCTGAACAGAAGGTTCGGAGGTCGCCACACGTTTATGGTCCAATAAATGTTAAAATAATTATATAATGCCCCTAATTCTTCCACCACTCTCGGTTAACCCCACTGAATACTCTGCATTGGTATGGACGTCGGTTAAATCAAATATGCTGCTCAAAGTAAGAGATGTGGTGAACGGCGACTATAAATAAACAAGAAAATGGCAATCATTGAGTTGATGGACTTCCATGCCCTTAAAATATCTGTCTGTCAGTGATGTAGATCAAAACAGAACGACTGCGAGCCATAAGAAGCATGCATTTGCAAAGAAAAATGGTGAAATTCGCCAACTCTGATCGCCAATGCACTGTTAACTGACCGTTTAAGGGGCCAGGGCAGCTATCACAACCGCTCAGGAAAAGCATCCTAGCGCATTTCGCCCAAACACGCGATCTTATCCTTTAGTGGAACAGAACATCGAAATCAATGATGTCCTACTTCTAATGAAGAGGATAAGCCAAACATAGATATCTGCATTGAGAAAAATCGCAACTGAAGTACACAGCAGACTAACATGTATTCCTTCTATTTTAATGAACCAAAAACATACATTTATAAAAAAACTCAAGAAATTTTGCATTTGCTAAACAGAAAGTGAATCTCGTTCTCAGTACATCTGACAACAAAGAAAATTAACAAACCAACTTGCCATCCATCTGAATTAAAAGTTCCGATTTCACCCTTCGCGATGCCTCGTGTTCCGAGTCAGAGCCGCGTCGACTGCATATACTGTCGATTTCATCGATGAATATAGTGCTTGGCGCATAAAAACGTGCCTAAAAACAGAAGCAGTGAATGAAAACAGTGTTCATCGAACAGAAGCCAATATCAGTTACCATCTCGAACAACAAGCGCACAAGTTTTTCCGAATCGCCGCGGTATTTCGAAGTCAACGTTGACGAGGTGACGCTGAAGAACGTTGTCCTACATTCGGTTGCTACGGCTTTAGCCAACAAAGTTTTGCCAGTACCTGGGGGTCCCACCATGCACACTCCCCGCCATGGTCGACGTATGCCCTAAACTGACAATCATCAGAACAGATATGCGTGAAACAGATCAGCCTGTGAAGTGACAAACGACAAATTCCAAGCAACGCTAATAAACATTTACCAATTATAGAAGTTCGAAATTTCCAACGATAAAGAAGAGTAAAGGCAAATTTAGAACTGCCGAACATGGGCCAGCAAAAAACTCCATAATATGTGAAATCATTAGCATCTCACATTCATGGAGGAACTTTTGCGGCACTGATTCCTATTTAGATGCCATCAGAAAGAAATACCTTATCATTTTGTAGACAGCCTCTAGCATGCACTTCGCTGCCATTTCTCCATTTAACGGTTGCATTCATTTAGCTACATTGAAAACATGACAGACCGGCGGAAACCGAACCAATCGCCTTTGAAATACAATTTCAGAACATATCGGTCGAATTAAAGACGACAGACAAATTTCTGCAAAAAATATACAATAAGGATGGGTCAGCGACGTTTTCAAAAGCACTATCGGCAGGGTTGTGAAACCTGATTTAGAAAAGTGATACGCTTATTAACAGACTTTGGAGTCACTAGCTATATTTCTGACCGACAGTGACCTCCTAAAAGACCTACACATCCATGAGCAAAACGAGGTCAAGACGGCCAGAAACAGAATTTCTTGCAGGTATGCAGCACCACCAGACGAAACTAAATTTTAAAATTTGGAATAGAAATAGAACTCCACCGTAGCCGGTGCCAAGCCCGGATGAGAAAAGAGGAGGATTGGAGACCGCGGCAAGCCTCCGCAAAATTCAGCTACCGGCCACTCATGGAATTGACGACATCGAAAATTATACCGGCTCGGTCGTCAAAGGGTTACCAAGGGCCGCGCAGGCTGTTGGGGACTGAGGCACGCTGTAAAAAGTCCGCAATCAGAACCTGCTCATTGCCATCTACCAACCGGGGGCGTGGCTGCACAACGACGGCTGACCAAAACCGACGCAACGACGACAAAGTTACCAATCAGCAAGGGAGTCGCTACCTGTTCTGAACGAAGAAGGCAGACAGCGCGATGCCATTACAGCACGTCAGAAAACACTCCACAAGAACGACACC